TGATTTCCAGCCCTGACTTGGAAATTGGTAGCAATGGTTTCCCAGGAGAAAATAACTGCTTTGGAGGGTGGACTCCATGGCATTCTATTCAGCTGGAGCATCTGCCCTCCCCAAACTTTGGCTTCTGTAGAATCCACCACAAAATATCCAGGAATTTCCCAACCTGGAGCTGGCAACCCTAGTCAGGATTGGCCCCTGTGAGTTCCCCACAAAGGCTGAAGTAGACCTGGAAAGGGTCTCCTGCCTTTGCCTTTTTACGGACAGAACCAAGTTTTGTTGTCTAGCAACAACCACTGAGGAGAAAGTTAGCCTCACAGCAGGGGGAGAAGAGAAAGGTTTGATGGCTGGTAGCCCACCTCAGTAGCAAGCTAGCCGCAGAGGAGCCAAGCAGGAGAAGCATCTTTGTCATGAGAGACAACCGTTTTGGCAGTTTATTCTGACAGGAAAGGGAAGAGGAAGGGATTGGATTTATACCCCGCCCTTCACTTGGAGTCTCAGAGCAGTTAAACAACCTTCTTTCCCTTCCCCTCCCCACAACAGATACCCTGTGAGGTAGGTGGGGCTGAGAAAGCTCTTTCAAAAACTGCCCTTTCAAGGACAGCTCTTGTTAGAACTATGGCTTGCCCAAGGTCATCCAGCAGCTGCGACTGGAGGAGTGGGAAATCAAACCTGGTTCTCCCAGATTAGAGTCCGTGCACTTTTTTTAAAATAACTTTTTAATTGTATTTTTCACCTACATCCTAAAGGTAAGGGAACAGGGGGTAAACACTATACCTAAAACAAAAGATAGGACAAGGATCGTGATCTAAATGTTACAATGTATATATAAGAATCCTACAATAATAACAAAGATCAATTTATCAAAATTCAGGTTAACACTAGCTTAGTCTTAATACTAGTCTCTGGTGTTTTATAATCACTTATATTCTGTTGAAATATCTGCTCATCTTATACGTTTCTTCTTGTACTTCAGATTTGTTTTAGGTATTTTGGTGCATCTGCCCCCTTCTCAGAGTCTGAGGTTTCCGGGGTACTACTAGAGCTACTCGAGGGGTCTTCTGTTCCTTCATCACTGGTTCCCTCTTCCTCAATATTGTCCACAGGTTTTTTGTCATCTTTACTCGGGCTTTGTTGTTGCTTCAAAAAATCTTTGGCTTTTTGGACAGTCAATTTTATTCTTCTTTTCTTTATAGTTGAATACAAGTCCCTCTGGAAAAATCCATCTATAAGCGATTGAGTTGTGGAGGAAGAAGGTTAAATCCTTGTATTGTCGCCTTTGCTTCCGCTTTTTGAATGGAATGTCCTTTAAAATTTTAACTTCTTCGTCTTTAATCTTCAGAACTTTTCCAGATGTGGCTTTCAAAACATTGTCTCTGGTAGATCTCTTAAGAGAATTTCACGTATATTTCTCCAGGCAGTTCATTTTTCTTTATAAAATCTGGATAGGTTCAGTAAGCCAAGTCCATATCATTTTGCAGCGCCTCTTGCTTAAGATCTGTCATTGGTGCTAACGCTTCACTTAAAATGACTTTTAAATTTTCTCCTTTTTGCTCAGGACCACCTAGAAAGCATAAGACATACATTATTGGCCTTTATCTGAGACGCTCTCTTTTTCTACTTCCCCCAATTTTTGTTCAATATCTTTGGTCTTTCTTTCAGCTTTCTCGTTGGCTCTGTCTGTTTTGTCTGCTCTTTTATCCATCTGTGTTAGTTGCTTTTGGACACCATCAAGCTTACTGTTGATATTAGATGTCTGCTCCAGCAGGGGGCACAATGCCGTAGCCAGCGTATTGGGAAAGTCAGCAGCTGCTTCCTGTGTCTGGGTGGGAGTTGTTGGTATGGTATTTCCTGTGAGAGGTTTCTTTTCCTGCACCATTCTTCTCCCTCTTCCAGTTTTTGGATTTAAAGGCAAAGTTCTCCGATTTAAAAACGCTTTGAATTATTGTACACCTTTCGGTCTCAGTTACAGTCTCACACGGTTAGTTTAGCTTATTTCTTTTCCTTTCTTGTTCCAGGGTAGTTCAGTTTTTTTTTGGGGGGGTGTGATTTCCCAACTCTTCCCCCACCCGCCGCTTGTTTCTCAACTTAAATCCAGTGGACTTAAAAACTTGGCCGCTTATATGAGGGATTGCTTAACTCACTTTTTTCGTGCTAGAGGGAAATCGCGCTAGATCGCTTGTCTGGTCGTCTGGCAGCCAGCTCTTTTCACCATAATGGCTTCGTGATGGCAGGACCTCTTGGGGTAGGGAGAGCCTCAATCCCTCGGCTGTCACCTTGGGAGTGGCTCTCCTCTGCACCCCAGGCTGGGAGTCCCCTACAAGGACTCCGGGAGGACCCGGATCTAGCCAGGACCCTTCCTGTCCACCGCAGCTCGGTGCGTTTCCAACAGGGGCTCGATGGGATGCATTCGAGCCTCAAGTCGCCAAAACCGGAAGCTCCTAGAGTCCATGCACTTAATATCAGATTATTTGTCCCCAGGTTATACACTTAAAAATTAGCAGCACAGTTGCTGCAGTCCCCTAGATATTCAGCGCTAAACATTGCAGATTTGATCTGATACTGTTGTATCAATCCAGGTGGTTTTTAACTGGTTCTTGTTTCATGTAGCAATTAAGATTACAGATTGGAGTTAAGGCGTGTCTTGAACTGTTTTGGTAACTGTCATCAGCCATAATATCAAACCACATTTTGAGAATTCGTATACAAAAAGGAGAAAATGTGACAAGTGGTCCCACAACTCTTTCTAGTTCCCTAGACCGTGGTTCAATATTGGATCTGTGCTGATCTTTGGAGATGCCAAAAATTCCAGATTTTAATCAGAGGAACAGCACCTTATTCCCCGCTGTGTATGAAGCGTAGGTACTTAACCTGAACATAGCTTCAGCTACTGTTTATATTTAAAGTGTTGAGTTTATTATATTTTATGTAGGATTTTTCAAGACTGTGTATAAGAATACTGATTCAAGTGAGTGTTGGAAGTGTAAGCGAAGGAAAGTTATTGATAAGTAAAATGCAAACTTTCAAATAAAAATACTTGCGTTAAGGTCTTCCACAGACTTTAATGCCAGTATTCTACAGTGCAGTCTGTGCAGTCTAAGCATAAAATTGAAGGCCACAGGTTAAATGTGGAGATTTAATTGAAAGCATTTTCTAAATCTGTTGGTAAGGCTATGCTGCTGTCAAAAACTTCCTTACTATAATCTTATAATTATACTGTGATTAGAGTATCCTGGAGATAATGGCATTTCCCCCCCTTTTCAATGAAAAATATACTAAATTCATGTTTAGTTCCTCCATATTTAATTGTTTATTTCTCTGCCGGCCAATTGAATGCCCACTGGTTTGGGTCATTGTTCCTCTTTGCAGATGGAAAACAGTATGGCCTTCAGAGCAAACCACACCCTAGGTTTTGAAAGCTGTAACTTCAACTGCTTTTCATAAGAACCTTATCTTGCCTTAGAAGTCCTGGATGCTTAATAATGTTCCATTCCTCTTGTCATACATGAGGTCTGTGGCCTCCGCTTGTTTGTGTCCCTGCCTGGGTGTGTGTGGGGGATTCCATGTGTGCATTGTTCGTCTAAATCTTGCTGAGACCCATCAGAGATGGAGATGAGATAATGCTTTTTTATCACATTGCTTGCACTGATCCTTTTCTCCCTAAATGCAAAGACATACAGTGTAGTTCATATTGGTTTCTGTAGCTTATTGCAGCCAGCCCACCACAGCCACCTGCACCTGAGATTCAGTTTACAACATGGATTTCTGGGAGTATGAAAACCTTGTGTCCTGTTGCTGTTAAAGAGCATGGAGGGGGGTAGTGGCAGTGAAATAGCTCCCCCAAGGACTGGAAGATGAGTCAGGTGTAACTAATATATTAGGGTGCACAGAGAGAGGGGTAATGGGGGGGGTCATGGGACATGGAGAGAGCTGTGTGGTACTGAATAAGTTGTAGGAATGTTACTCAGCTGGTAAATCAGACTTTGAAGGTGCAGATAAGGAAGAGCGCTGTGTTTTGCGTAGGGACAAAGGGAGTAACATGAAGTTGCAAAGAGAACAGCATACACTATGGGTTACAGAGACAAGAAAGAGTAGAGACAGTGGAGAAAGATTAATAAGATTTAGAAATGCCTGTGGTTATACAGAATAGTAATGAAAAGAGAAGTGGAGTCAAAGGAACACACCAAGATTTGTAGCTTAATCTTTTATGCCATTACAGAGAGATGGCCTCCTTGAGTTTGTAGAGGTCTCACTCACTGAGTTAAGCTGTTTGTCACCGGTCTGGCACTTCAAACAAAGCACAACACACTTATGAAATAATTCTGTGGAGCATAAGAGAGACTTCAGTACGGAGGCCATTATTCAAGAATGTTTTAATTCGAAGGTCACCCAAAACCTTCCCAGGGTTCTTTTCAATAATATACATTACCATTAACCTCCTTTGAAGGCCTATCTGTTTCTTGACTTCTCAGCTGCATACTAATGTATGCAATAAAATCTCACTTAAATAGATTTGCTTAGGCGATCGACAGTGTTGCGTGCTCAGGTTCATGAAAAGTGCCTTTCAACATAACCTCTTCTGTAGCAAATGAAATATAATGCTTCTTAGTTATAGAAGTATCTAGGCACAAAGTCCTTTGCTTTTAAAAACTAAAACTATAGGGCTGGCAGATGCTCAGAAACAGAGATTTAAATTCTTCCCCAAATAAAAGTGTTGTCTGCACATGCACAGACAGCATGCATATTACTTCCTCCAAGCATTGGCTGTGATGGTTGTGGCCAAGAGCTGCGATGGCAGCAGTGACGGGGAGGGGGGGGAGAAGCCGTGGCTGTCTGGGTGGCAAGGCTGGGAGATGCACCGGGCTTGGCAGCAATTGTGGGTATGGACAGGAGCTGCGGCAGCTTCAGTTACAAGGCCAGGAGGCATTGGTGATGGTGAATGACTTCCACTGAGTTACTCTAGGGTTAGGGTAGTGCTTTGATAGTCCTTCTTTTTCTTTCAGCTTCCAGTGCAATTCAGACATTACGTGCATTCAGCAAGCAGTGCACAACAGGAATGAACCATCAGTGGGAAACTGGTTACTCTGCTCTAGTTGGCTGCATTTAACAATGGCCTCTTAATTTTGTAACATGTTTGAAGAAGAACTATAAAGAAGAAAGGAAGGTAAGATTTTTTGCTTTGAGATAGTTTTGGTATGTATCAGTTCAAGTACAGCAAGCTGGAGTTCACATGTGCCTTATGACCAATACTGTGAAACCAGTGCATTGAAACAATGACACTGGTGCAAGGGAACTCACTATCTTTGCTGTCACACTTCTCTGCTTGGGGTTCTCTTCTACACTCCCTGTCCCATGCATCAGATCTCTGCATAACTGTGCCACAGAAGATTCTTTGAATTGCTCTGTCACCTATAAAGTAGGATTTCCACCCACTTTATTTTTGGGACATTTTGTGGTATAAAAGGACAGCAGAGGAACACACCAACCAAAATGAGTACTGAGGGGGGCAGCAGGGGAGAACACTTTCCTGAGAAGCAGAATAGCACTACTCTGTTTCCCAGGAGGGGATCATTCTGCATTGGTGCCATTCCTGAAAATCGAACTATCAGGCAATTTGTGATGAGCACTCTAGGGAGGATTTACCTATATTGTTGCTGTACACTCAGCAGGAGGACACATTTAGAAGAGTGAAAATGGCAATAAGAAATTCAGTTCTTTACATTAAATCATGGTTAACTTCATTTATTAATTAGTGACTTAGTTGTAGAACATCTGCTTTGCATGCAGAACTCCCAGGTTCCATCCCTTGCATTTCCAGCTGAAAAAAATCAGGTGATGTGAAAGAACTAGGTCTGAGAACCGGGAGAGCTATTGCCAACCAGTAGACGGTACTGCCCTTGATAGATCAATGTTCTGACTCGTTATAAGGCAGCTTCCTATATTCACGTGTATTATAAGGAAGCTATAAGTTGTCATAGCAGCATATAAAAATAGAACAAAATAAAATAAGTAATATCATGGTCTTTTGAGGATAGCACATCATTGCTTGAAAAGCCCACCCACATTTTTATTACTGGGATTTCTAGAGAGTTGTCTCATTAAGTGGATGGAAGTGGAATCTACAGAACCTAGTTTGCCCTAATGAGAACCAAGTCTTCAGATGTCACACCACATTTCAGCTTGTCACTTTATATCAGACTAGGAAAAAGGCCCATTGTGGAAATAAATACAACGGCCTCTAGAAAGAGGCTCTGGGCGGGTGCCCCGGCCTTGGACACTCAGTGTCGACCTCAGCAGGGTATAATGACACTGAGTCCACCATTTTCTCCAGAGGAACTGATCTCTGCTACCTAAAGAACAGTTGTAATTTTGAGTGATCTCCAGCCCTCACCTGGAGATTGACAATGATGGTTCCCCAGAAGGGAATAGTTGGTTTGGAGGGTGGAGTCTATGGCTTTGTACCTGTCCGAGGTCCCACACCTACTGAAACCTCACCCTCTCCAGGCTCCATCCCTCACATCTCCAGGAATTTCCCACCTGGAGTTGGCAACCCTATCTCCTTTCCAGCCATTCATCAACCTACCTTTATTTCCCCCTCACTCTTCAGCTTTCCACCCCCCACACACCTGCAGCCTCTCCCGTGCTCTGAAGCCTTGACTGCTACATCACATTGGCTGTCAGCAGCATATAAGGATACAGAGCCCACCATTTTCTCCAGGGGAACTGATCTCTGCCATCTGGAAAGCAGTTGTAATTCTGAGTGATCTCCTGCCCTCACCTGAAGATTGGACACATTTTACCTCAGAACAGCAAAACTGCTTAGAATGTTAGAGGCAAAAGCCAATCAAGTCACATATGCAAACGACCTCTGTGTTCCGAGGCAAAGGCCAATGAGGCTGCATATGCAAATAACCTCTGTGTTCTGACTGGCTATGGGGGGGGGGAGAGAAGAACAGCAAAATGTTTAGAATGTTGGAGGCAGGACTCAGGCAAAGCAGCCAGTGGATAGGGAGACCCTCTGAATGACAGATCAGAGAGCGAACTGATTTTGGAGCGTGTGGAATGTTCTAGAGAAGTGCCACCACCATTTGGCTTTTATTTATAAGGGAGATTACAACAAAGAACATAAATGTGGTATTTTGAGGGAGATATGTTTGCATATGAAGATTCTCACTAGATGGATAATTTTGACTGATTATTGAATTTGTCACATCAGATGTTGGGTACTTTGCATTGAATTCAAAGTCTAGCCAATCAGCTGCTCAACCTTGCTTCTTTTTTCCAAAAATACACATCAGGAAGTCATCTGTAAGAAACAGAAATTCACTGTTGTACCTATGTCTGATGAATTTTGTGATATTTTTAACTACCTTCTCTTTACATGGGTGGGGGATTAAAATCTTATTTTTATTTAAATTTACGATTTGGCAATGTGGGAACAATTTTCTTACAATGATAAAGGCTATTTACAATACCCAAAATGCAAAAATTGTAGTTAATAGCGAACCCACTCAAAATATTCCTATTCAAAAAGGCACTAGACAGGGTTGGCCCCTATCTCCTTTATTGTTTATTTTTACGATTGAGTCATTAGCTGAAAGGATAAGAGATAATGAAATGATAAAAGGGCTGAAAGTAAGAGGTGAAACTTTTAAACTGCAAGCTTTTGCAGATGACTTGATTGTTATATTAGAAGACCCAGAACACTCTTTAAAGTATCTATTAGAAGACATTCAGGAATTTGGGAATTTGCAGGCTTTAGAATTAATGTTCAAAAGACTAAAATTATAGTCAAAAACTGCCCACAAAATATGATACAAAGAATAAAAAAATATCAAAAATGGAGGTAGTGGGAAAAGCGAAGTATTTAGGAATATGGATATCCGACAAAACATTGATGTTATATGAAGACAACTACTTACAACTCTTAAAAGATATAAAAGGGGATTTGAAGCATTGGGATAAAATACATCTCTTTTTACTGGGAAGAATAGCGACAGTTAAAATGAATATTCTGCCAAGATTCCTCTTCCTCACACAGAATTTACCAATACTCAAAAATTATAAGTATTTTAAAGACTTGGAGAAAACTATAAATAACTTTATTTGGCAGTTTAAAAAACCGAGAATAAAAACTAAATACCTTCAGGACAGTAAAAAGAGGGGAGGTTTTGCATTTGCCTAATTGGCAATTGTATTACTTTGCAGCTTCAATGGTATGGATTAAAGAATGGGCAATGTTAGAGGACATTAGAACATTAAAGTTAGAGGGATGAGATTTAGCAGTGGGATGGTACGTGAAGGATAAAATCCACTCTAATTTCCATACACATATAATCAGAAGCTCCCTCATTAAAGTGTGGAATTTAATAAAATATAAAAACTATACTAAAATACCAACATGGATATCCCCGATAGAGGCATTTGCCAAACCCTCACTTAAAGTAGGGAAAATTAATGAAAGTTATGGCAATTTATTGAATAAACAGGCTGAATTGAATTCGGATGAGGTTTTATTGAAACATAACATAAAATTATCCTGGTGGGAAAAAATGTATTAAAAACAAGATATAACGAAGATAAAAAAACAGGATTTTACACTAGTTTAAATGAATTTGACAAAATCTGGTTATCTTCCAGTGATAAGCTTATTCAGAAACTTTATACCATATTGATAGAGGATTTCTTACAAGAAGAAACAATAAAAATGTCAGTGTTAGCGTGGATAAAAGAGATTGAGCACCCTATAGAAGCAGAACAATGGACTAAAACATGGAAATAACTAAACTTTCTGAGAGCTACCCTGTACAAGGAGAACATATATATAATGTTCTATAGGTGGCATTGGACTCCTGCCAAAGTAGCAAAGTGCTTCCCGAAGGCATCCAATTTATGTTGGAGATGTGGGGGAAATGTAGGATCGTACCTCCACATATGGTGGAGGTGTGACAAAATCCAAAATTTGGGGGGGGAAATTGCTAAAATAATTTTAGATGTCATAAAAATTAATATCCCTTTAATACCAGAAATATGGCTACTTAATATGATTCCAGAAAAAAATTAAAAAGCATACACAGATAATTATATATTTCTTAACCGCAGCCAGAATTTTGATAGCAAGGCAATGGAAATCAAAGAATATACCTTCTATAAGAGAACTCAAAAATAAGATACTTGAGATAGCTGATATGGACAAATGGACTATTGCATTACAAAATAAGCCAGAGGAAGCTTTTTGGGAGAGATGGGGAATTATATATGACTGGCTGAAGATGAAGAAGATAAATTAAAAATGAAAAAATGCTAGTTAAAGATAATATTTGTTAATTTAGAAGGATGAACCTTATATTTGGAAATGTATATGAACTCTAAATGGAGTTATGTCAAGTCAAGTCAGCCTTTATTGGCATAAAATGGAGTTATGTTACTTTTTGTTGTTTGTAGAAAATGAAAATAAAATATCAAAAAAAATCTTATTTTTATTAAAAAAATACAGTAAAAAAAATTATCTGGCACTTGATTATCCAGAAGGCTTCTCCTCCCCTTCAGCTGCTATACCTCTGCATTGTTGTATGTGTGCACATCCCTCCCTCCTTCAGCCATCTCCCTTAATGCTTCTCTGGCCATTGCTGGGCTCCTGATAGCCAGTGGTGCTAACAGATGTCATCCTCCAATGTTTCTTTCCCTCTCAGTCTGCCTTAAGCTTTCATGAGCCAGCTGTGCTTGCTGCATAAGATGGCTTCAGGTAGAAGGGTCCCAGGCATGTCGGCTGTCACTCAATGGGGTGGAGTTAGGCTGCAACAGATCCCTCTGGGTTGGGGAAGAACAGTAACCTTAAGTATCTGGGACATTTGATTAACTAGCAGCCTGTATTCTCCATGAATACTAGATTCCAAAGCTTTTACTCTATTATTTCTTTGAACTGTCCAAGTAAAACTGCAATGTAAGTTAGTATCATGTAGTGACCAGTGTTCTCTCTAAGCTGAGTTAGTGTGAACTAGCTCAGCATTTTTTAGCCTCCAGCTCACGTTTTTGTCTTAGCTTAGGAAGGATGGCTCTAGAGCAAACTAATTTATGCAGTAGCCAAATCACTCACTATCAACTTTAATGCCAGTATCTCACAAAGTAGAATTTTTGCTCACAAGACTCCACCGCTTAGATTTAGAAGGGGAATCCTGGTTTCCCCTCAGTCTCAAGTACAGCACTATCAGATGGTCCAGAGTGGCAGTGCCGATTCTGTCATACTCATTCATTGATACAAAGGGGAGAACCATAGTGCCTGCTCACTTCAACCTGAGCAAGCATAAACTAAGAATGTGGTAGATGATTAACCTTCTCATTAGAAAGAATTTGCACCAACATTTGTGTTTTCCATTCTCCTTTGCAGCTTATTTCAGTAGCATGTTCAACATGTTGTTATAATTGCATCTCAAAATTATCAAGACTTGGATTTACCAAAGTGTTTCTGTGGACAGGATTTCCTCTCACACAAGCATGACTTTCTTGTCTCCTACTACAGCTCAAAATGTTCCCAAAATGCTGCTGCTGGGGGACAGGAGATGCCAGCAGCATTTCAGGGGGCATGTTGGACTGCAGTGGGAAGGGAGAGGAAAGAAGGTCACACTCTACAGGTGGAAATCTTTCTGTCTCTGGAAATGCTTCACTGGATGCAACCCTTACTTTTTGTCTCTGAAAAGCATATGCATAACAGAACAGTGCAGGATTTCAAGTTGGATTATCTTGCTCATAAAACACAAATTTAAGAAACGTAACCTTATAATTTCCCCCCTGATCCTGAGTTGAGTTCTATCATTATGTAGGGAAAAACAAGGGCACTGTCTGTAGAATGAACTCCTGCAAAGTAAAGCAGAACTTGCTGTAAGCTTCTATTGACTTGAATTTGATGTATCTTCTCTTAAATACAGCCATAAAGGCAAGAAGTTAATGAAGCAAACATAAGAGAAGCCAATGTTGGATCAGGCCAATGGCCCATCCAGTCCAACACTCTGTCACGCAGTGGCCAAAAATACCAGGTGCCATCAGAAGGTCCAGCAGTGGGGCCAGGACACTAGAAGCCCTCCCACTGTCCCCCCCCCCCCACAAGCACCAAGAATACAGTGCATCACTTGCCCCAGACTGAGAGTTCCTATCTATACCTAGAGGCTAATAGCCACTGATGGACGTTTTATGAAGTGTGGTACAAATACAGTGGTCTGGGAGGGGCTGTGGCTCTGTGGTAGAGCATCCGCTTGATATGCAAAAGGTCCCATTCAAGGATCAGGTGGCATGAAAGACGTCTTTTTGATACCCTGGAGAGCCAATGCCAGTTTGAGGAGAAAATACTGACTTTGATGGACCATGTGTCTGATCAGTATAAGGCAGTTTTCGTGTATTCATACAGTGGTCAACTTTTGGAGGGTGCTCTGTATTGTGAGAAATTAGAAGACTTACATCTTGAGTATAGGACACTTTAAACTCTGTGGCACTTTCTGGGATACTACTGACAATTAGATTTAAAAAGTCCTGGAAGAGAACTACATCTTTGTGTCAAGATGCTGTCCTATAATGCAGCCTTAACTTCTTTCTCTAGTTTAGTATTAGGAACTCTTAAATCTTTAATCACATTACACCTTGTCTTTCAAGACGTTCTTGGCAAGTATATATTGGGATATGTAATGTTTTGCCCAGTGACTGTACAAGGTAGTTAAACTGAAAAACACTGATTGCCACCCAATGAGCTTTGTAACTGAGCAGGAATTTGAATCCAGAGGCCCCAGTTCACATCTGTCACCTGCACCACACTATTTCATCCTGTAAATTAATGTATTACAATCAGCCTTGCTAATCCATTTTGTCAGTTGTTTGGTTCATGAATGAGCTTGGCAGGAGAGCTTTGGCCTCACTGAGTCCATTCTCTCCTTACATAATGCAAACCTCATAGTTAGCTTCTGGATTTCAGCAGCTGCTGAGCCAGCAAATTATGATTCCCCCCCTGCAAACCAGTCTTAGGAAGAATTACTTGTTCAGTTTGCAAAATTCTTACAGACAAGCACAAACTCAGGTTTGCTGTACTTCCTGGTTTAGATTTGAAAGTAGGTTGGCCACAAGGGAAGAGAGTTTGTGAACAAATTTGAGACCATATCTCCAATGTAATGTCCTGACTGCTTGTGTACTTTAAAAAACTTTATAGCTGAAATACCTTAACCCTTTGAATAAAAGGCAACTCTGCAAAAGTATATAAACCTTTTGATCATTTCTAGGATGGCCGGTTGTGGTGAAGTCGATCACTCAATCAACATGCTTCCCACAAACAGGAAGACAAACGAGCCATGTTCCAGCTCAGCACCATCTCTTATGGTCCCTGAATGTGCTATCTGTCTGCAAACATGTGTCCATCCTGTGAGTCTGCCTTGTAAACATGTCTTCTGCTATCTGTGTGTGAAAGGAGCTTCCTGGCTTGGAAAGCGATGTGCACTCTGTCGGCAGGAGATCCCAGAGGACTTCCTTGATAAACCAACCTTACTATCACCTGAGGAACTCAAAGCAGCCAGTAGAGGCAATGGGGAATATGCTTGGTACTATGAAGGCAGAAATGGCTGGTGGCAATATGATGAACGTACCAGTAGGGAGCTGGAAGATGCTTTTTCTAAAGGTAAAAAGAGCACTGAAATGTTAATTGCTGGGTTCTTGTATGTGGCAGATCTTGAGAACATGGTTCAGTATAGGAGAAATGAGCATGGACGTCGCAGGAAAATAAAACGGGACATAATAGATATTCCAAAGAAGGGAGTGGCTGGGCTTAGGTTGGACTGTGACTCTAATGCTATCAATCTAGCAAGAGAGAGCTCTGCTGATGGTGCAGACGGTACACCAGCTCTAGGGGCTGCTGCTGGGCAGCCTCTAGCAACTGTTTCTGTTAGACCCCTACCTTCACTAGATGGTCAGCTGACAAGTCCTGCAACGCCATCACCTGATGCAAGCATTCTAGAGAACTCTTTTGCCAACTTACAAATAAATGGAGACAGTATGGTTGAAAGGAGCCATAGGGGAGAGGGAGAGGAAGACCATGAATCATCATCTTCTGGTAGGGTGCCAGTTCTTGACACCTCCATTGAGGAAACAGAATCGGATGCTAGCAGTGATAGTGAGGATGTGTCTGCCCAGCTTCAGCTGCCTGCATCCTCTGCTCAGCAGAGACATCTGAATGCAAATCAGCCAGCCTTGGATAGACCAGTGGCAGGGAATGGGGTGGGAAACACCAGTGTAAGATCTAGGAGGCCTGACGGACAGTGCACAGTAACTGAAGTTTAAATCTAGAGCCATGTTTTGAAAACTCAAGTCTTGTACCTGTATATTTTGTCTGTATTGACATTGCACTCCAGTCTAGCAGTGTGTTTCAAAGTGTTTGGGGGTGGGTGGATGGGAAAGAGGAAAAACAAACTTGAGCCTCTAACTTCAAAGGCAATCGCTTAACATGTCTTGGCTGGAAGACTTTCTATGTTTAAAAATAAAACAAAAAACTGGGGGGGTGTTAATGGTTTGACAGCTACTTAGCAATACCCAGTTTTGTTTTTGTAAATGTCTTTCATGTTTTATTTTGTAGTATATTTCCCCTCTCTCAGTGAAACCCTGTCCTCTTTTTTGACCAATGTATATCCACTGTAAAACTTGGAGCTGTCATCATTCTCTGTTGCATTAAGTAACTTTACTATCTGCATGGATCGATGTATGGGAGGAACATTAAAACTGGAAATGGAAAAGAGTTTGGGTATGAGCAGGATGCTTAATTTTAATGTGAGAAAATAGGTGTGACTTCTGAACTTCAGATGTTTTACTAAAACAAAGAGCAATCATCTTCCTGAATGAAATGTAAAAATTCTGTTGCAGAGTTTTACTTGTAAACACTTCATGATGTCTTCATTGGCTCTTCTGTCTAGTCCCTGTAGCTTGTTTGAGTCTCTTGATCTGTCTTGTTTTTGTTACAAAATTTATAATTTAATAAACTACATTTTATCAACAATCTGAACACTGTTTCCATATAGAACTGTACCCAAGTAACCTTGAAGAGGAAATTTGCAAAGGAGGCACAGACTACTTTTCAGATGAGATTGCTCCTAGCTTTTCACACTGGTTAACTAAATGCATTAAAATGTATAATAAGCTACACCTTGAGTCCAGGATGTTTAGCACAGCCATGTAGAAAATACTCTGCTTGAAAAAAAGGTCTGATGTGGTACTTAAAAATTCATTCACTCTGCTACGTACTGACAACAATAAATCTCTGTTCAGTGAAAATAGACAGCAACCTCTGATTAAATTGCCCAACAACTGTAGGTGAAATAAAATAGTCATGTGTGCAACAGTGATATGTGGCATTATTTACATGCTGCCTTGTGAAGTCGCTCCTGGTTCTAAAATCATAGCAGCAGCTGCCTTATTGTATTAACAATGATGAGATTCCTGCCATTTATCTTCCACTAAATAGTAATAGTTCCTGTAGGTTTAATATTCAGCATCAAGTAGTTCCTCCACTGTGCATTTGCAGCAGCTGTGTACTGTTTTCTTTTTATACAAAGACAAATCTTGTAGACTTCAAGTGTTTAATCCAGGGTTACTGAAAATGGAGGAATGAGACACATTTTGGGTTTAAAAAAAATCTTTAGCCTTTCCATCAGACACACCACATCACTGTAAGCGATTTACAAAAAATAGGTCAGACATTTAATTCATATGCACATTGTCCTCCAGTTACCTAGAACATAGATTCAAGTGAGTACAAATTTTCTCATATGAAATACAAAGATTAAATAATTGCTGAAAATCCATAACTGGAACATGAAAAGTGGCACCTTTTCCCTCCAATTTTAAGGGGAGTATTTTAAGCCAGCAGTGTTTACTTACATTTTGACCACCAAGCTACATGCAGACACCAATCATCAAGGACAGGAATAAGCTACAAGTAGCACATTTGTATTATGATATCTCAATAAGAGTTAATTTGTTCAGAGAACCAAGTTTGCTGAGCTATAGCCATTTTTGGATGTGCTCTCACACTTTCTAAAAATGTGTCAGCTATGAAGCATATTTGCTGAGGATGATAAACTGCTGTGTCTCTCACACAGCACATTTTCCTTGATAACTTTATTATCACTTATACACCCAGTGATCAAGATCAACCAACAAAAAAGCAGAGTTCCGCTGTAGTATTTTGCTGTCACTGCTGTCTGTGATAGGCCTTTACTTGAACTACTATCCATAAAGAGAAAACTGACATGTACAAATGACAGCTCCACAAGAACTAACAAAAGCAGTGACACAGGAGAAGGCATGTTGGATCATCCAGTCCAACACTTTGTGTAACACACTGGCCAAAAAACCAGGACCAGGAGTCCAGAAGCTCTCCCACTGTTGTCTCCCACGAGGGATGGGCACGAAATGGTTCACAAACCTAATTTCATGACAAAAATCACCGGTTTGTGGTTCATGGAGTGAGGGTCATGTGATCATACCCGCAACAAACCTCCATGTTTCTCATGGAGGTCCATGCAGTCCATGTCGGTGGTTTGTGCACAAGTGAAGTCCAAGCACCAAGTCCACTCACTTCAGGTGAACTTGCTGCTTGGACTTTACTCGTGCACGGTGTGGCTTGTAAAAGCAATTTAAAGGGAATGTTCTCTTCAAATGGTTTTTACAAGATCTTCCCCCTTCCATTCTGCTGGCTTCAGGGAGCTCCCGCCAGCAAAGAAGGAAGATCGACACCCCCCACACACACACTGCATCATGAAACGAACCAGTTAGGTAAATGGGAAGGCTTGTGGTTTGGGTGACCCAATGAACCAGGACAAACCTCCATTTTCCTGGTTTGTGCCCATCCCTACACCCTAGCACTAAAAATACTGCCCCAGACATAGTGATCCATCTATACGTTGTGGCTAGTGGCCACTGATGGACCTCTGCTCCATATATTTATCTAATCCTCTTGAAGCTGTCTATGCTTGTAGCCACCACTCCCTGTGGCAATGAATTCCACGTGTTAATTGCTCTTCAGGTGAAGTACTTCCTTTTATCTGTTCTAAAACTGCTCATTAATTTCATTGAATGCCCATGAGTTCTTGAATTATAAGAAAGGGAGAAAAATAGCCTGTTTGAGTATGAATGAGCTTTCAATAATTTCAAACTCAGTTAAAGCAATTTACACATTTTTAAAATGGTTTGTTAAAATGGAGGTGAAGGATAGATATTTAGTCAGGCAAAAACTTTGTGTACAAGTATTTGTTCAACTACCAGTTCCATATGCAGGTAAAAGGCGTATGTCTAGAAGTTTACAAGTCATTTGGAGAATGCTTTCTCATAGAACCTGGCTAGAGCATGTAACCATACTGAGAACAATGGAACTTACCCACATGAAGATTTGCAAAGGGTTTTATCTCTTAGGCCAAGACTCAACAAGCTGAGAGTAGTCAAAACATTTTCCATGCCTGGGCTACAGGATAGACATAATACATTTTCCACAGATACTATGGAGGATGGCTGCACAAACTTTTCTTTCAAATGTACCCTTAAGTGCTCCTTAGACTGAAAGACCAAGAATAAAGACAAAGTGTTCAGTTCATACTGGTGTCCCCAAAACCAGTCTGCTGGAGATTATCATGCAGATCTAGTAACTCACAGAACTCATAATTCAAGAAAAATACTTTAAAACACTTGTCTTGTCAGGGAGCTGATTGTCTACATGCAGGACATTTACCATCTACCCCCCTCCCACTATCTGTTTCTCAAACCTTGTCAAACTACTGGTGGTGCCTTAAAGTTTAGCTTGTGTCTGGTGAAATGGCCTCTAGTCCAGGCAAAGTTATACTAGAATAAAATAAATTCCCCCAATCCCTGGCATAGCCAGGGGTCAAAACATTAAACATCCAAGGGAAGAACTTGGATTGGGAGACATAAAACCCACCTTAAAGATTAGCTTGTCTCTTTTGTCTTAGTCTTTGTGAGGATAAAGCTAGGTCAAGTGGGTATCAGTCACAGTTCACACTGCTACCTCTGATGGAATCTGTCTACTTCATACAACAACAATAATAACAAAGCTTTAGAAAAATAAATCGGATGAATCTCTCAATAGCAATAAATGCACCAACTTATTGACCTTCAGGAGAGCCTGCTGGCTGATACTCAAACTTCCATACACCTTTGACTTTTACCTGCAGTATGTAACCAGTAGCTGCAAATGAAATATTTTGGTGCTTCCTGGCACTAAGTTCCTGCACTACTGCAATATTTCCAAGAACTAATTTCCACTTTAGCTGTAATTTGAAATAGCATCTCCTTACCAGGGAACTCTGAATGTTAATACCCAAAGAATGGATAAAAACTTAACCGCTTCCCATATATCCATGACTGGTGTCAGTTTGTCTGTAAAATATCAAACCCATTTCTTTTATCTTTCGAAATTACTTACTTGTGTCTTGTTCTCTGAGTTAAGGCCTCCAAGTTAACAGGACCTCCCCAAACAGTTCCAAAAATCTTCATTTCTGTTCTCAAGGCAGCTTCCAACTGCAGCTCTCTTCCTGCCACAACTACTTTCTTCACAGCCCGAATCACTTCAGCTGGTCCCTTGGTGTGCAGCTTGAGCCATGTGCATGTTTCTTCTAGAGGCTCATCAGAAGGGGACAAGATGGCATCTATCAGGCCAATATGAAGGGCGTATTCTGGCTGTACTTTTGAGGCACCACTGAGCAACTTGAGGGCGAGGCTGCTGCCAAGGATTTGCACAAGCCTGGCAGCTCCTCCCCAGCCTGGTACTAAGCCCATCTGCTTGTGAACAAATCTAATTTCACTCTCCGGGGTCATTAACCTGTCAGTGAGAAACAAGCATTCGGTTGTTAATTTATACTGAAGTTTAGCATGAGAACTCATGCCTCCTCTGCTCTCTGCCTCTTTGTTATGCAAAGCACAACTCTTGACAATAAGAGATGCAGTGGCTTAAGCATTTTCTAATGCTAAGCAAGCTAGCCAAACATCAAGCAACAGAAATAGGTAACACAAAAAAGATGGATTACTTATTTTTTTAAAAAAGTCCTAAGCAAAAATCAGAAACTGGGATTTTCAAACTTGGGTTTTAGTTCTGAAATGTACTAATCCCTAATTCTTTCATGTAAAACCCTATTCTCATGACTCCCTCAGCCTATGGAGAGAAGGCCAAGACTAGGGTCATTTTCCACCTGAATTCTCAGAGGAAGAGCAGATTACAAGTGAAACAAGATACTACAAAATATGGAGGATAGACATTATAGCAACTGGACTAGAGAATGGCTTGGATCCCACAGAGATTTTCTATAGACAGAAGGGGTTTGCTGATTTTATTTTCTGACCTCAAGCCTCCAACTCTCCCAACTTTGGTGGATCCAAACCATTATCTTTATTCCTCATATGTCAGTACAGCAAGATATTTTGTCTAATCAAAAGAAATGCAGGCATAAGATTACAAATAATAAAGCAAAGACATTTCAAAGAGCAAATATATCCTTTCAATATGAGAATTAAAACTCATTTTTAGAGGAATAAAGTTCCAGAGACAGCCCAGCTAAAAAAGGATAACTGTCTGGACAGCATGGGGACATTCAAAACAGTATGGTCCACAGAATGAGTACACTGCAGTAAAATAAGTGATAGATCTAAAAGCACACCATTTTTTAAAAGAAATGTGTAAGATAGTGAACAGAAGAAAGAAAGGTGGCCCTTTGTCTCAAAGCAGCTTGAAATTGCTCTAGATAGTGATTAAGAAACTGAAAAGACAGCTAATGTTTCATGTGCTATTGTGAGAGAAAAAAGGTCAAAGACAGTCTTGTAATTTAGACAAGATCAAGGGAAGGGCAGGATTTTGGAGAAGAAAGGAGACAGCCTGCAGTATTTAGAATGGCAGAAGTGGAGGAAAAATAAGGGAAAGGAAAGGAAGTTTGGCCAGCAGTAATAAAGCATAGTCAGAATCAGAGTGCAAGATGGTATTGTCCTGTATTGCTGCAAAGTGGCAGACAATGGTTAACTTCTTCAAGTGGTCAAGATCTGCCTCCTGCTGTTGCCTTTCTTTCACTTGATTTTTTTAAAAGCACAGGACACCACATACTACTGAAGTAAAAAGCCACATTGCAGGAGGAAACTAGCACAGTTCCCTGGGAAACTAATGACATCTCTGTAAGCTCACTGGAAAATGACCATGACCTTGAATAGTCAACCCACACTATAGAATCATAGAATGTTAGAGTTGGAAGGGACCTTGCAGGTCATCTAGTCTAACCCCCTGCACTCTGCAGGAACACAGCTGAACGATAGCCCTACATACCTACAACATACCCGAAAGATGATCGTCCAGCCTCCGCTTGAAAACGTCCAGCGAAGGATCATCCACCACCTCCCGAGGCAGACTGTTCCACTGCTCAACCTGGTAATGACTCCCTTGTAATTTCCACCCATTAGACCTAGTCTTGCAATCCGGAGCAAGAGAGAATAGATCTGCTCCATCTTCTACATGACAGCCTTTCAAATACTTGAAGACTGCAATCATGTCCCCCTGTAAGCCTTCTCTTTCCCAGGCTAAACATACCCAACTCTTTCAGCCTTTCCTCATAAGACTTGGATTCCAACCCTCTCACCATCCTGGTTGCCCTCTTCTGGACACGCTCGAGCTTTTCAACATCCTTCCTAAAATGTGGTGCCCAAAACTGGACACAGTACTCCAGGTGAGGCCTGACCATAGCAGAATAGAGCGGAACTACCACCTCCCATGATCTGGACACAATGCTTCTGTTAATGCATCCTAAGATTGCATTAGCTTTCTTCACAGCCACATCGCACTGCAGGCTCATGTTAAGATTTTGATCAACCAGAACACCCAGATCGCTTTCACATGTGCTGCTGTCAAGCCAAGTCCCTCCCATTCTATATCTCTGCCCTTATCTTTGCACTTATCTCTATTGAAATTCATTTTATTTGTCTCAGCCCACTGTTCCAGCCTATCTAAATCATTTTGAATCCTGACTCTGTCTTCTTCAGAATTAGCAATCCCACCCAGCTTCATGTCATCTGCAAATTTGATAAGCATCCCCTCTATGTCTTCCTCCAGGTCATTTATAAAAAACATTGAACAACACCAGGCCCAGGACCGAGCCCTTCGTCGGGTACAATTTTTCAACCAACCATGAATTCATCCAACGGTTGCACCATCCAGCCCACACTTAACTAGCATATCCTCAAGGATATCATGAGAAACTTTGTCAAATGCTTTACTGAAATCTAAATACACTATATCCACAGCATTGCCAGAGTCAACCATTTTGGTAACTGTCAAAAAAGAAGTTAAGGTTGGTCTGGCATGA